GTTTTCTTGTAATAACTGATTAGGTGAAAAAGTCGACTGGCGAACATTTGAAGCATTTGGTTTCGATGTGGAAACACCAGAAATGACAGAATGTACTTTAGTCTGTGTGTCAGAATCACTCCRCCAAACTTTACAACACATAATCTGAAGTTTTTCCAAGTTTCAATCCCCCACAGCTCGCAGATTCTGGCAGAAGGAGACATTTTCCAGCTCACTTCAGGCAACATGCTGCAACTTAAAGTATTGTGGATAAAACAGTGGCTGAGAGGAATTTATTTTTACAGCATTAGATCTGTGATTGTTCAATATTAAAGCAATGAGTGCAGCAAAAAATAATACTAACGTAGAGTCTAACACTAAGCAGTCATTCAGCAAAGTGATCAAGTTCAGAATAAGGCTTTAGGACTTCCGTCTTCAATCATTTGTTTTGATTTGTATTCAGACTGGCATAAAGTTTCTGTGGAAGGAGTTTAATGCAGATTTCAGAGGAGCTACAGTCAGGTTCAGTTAGCTTCAAACATCGGTTCTGAAGCTGCGTCACAAACTGGACGAGCGTCGCGCTTCACTCACGAGTTAATGCACGAAATATTAAGACYAATTCAAAAGAAAGTCAGAGTTGGCCACAAAACACAAACCAAAAAAAGCCCCCCCGGGGCCACTTGCTGCAAGATTTCCATAGCTTTACCTGGCTATCTGCGTGACAAAATAAACAGAGCGGTTACTTTTTGACTGGCACAATCCCCCGCACGTTGAGTGATAATATTTCACACTGTGTGTGCACAACRGCTGCGCTGTTTACTCCAACGGAACAGCGTTTCTTTCAAATCCCTCCATTTTCTCCCTGGGAGGAGATTTCCTTTCCTTTCCACTCCTGTGAGCTCTCCAATGATGTCATGCTCACAGAGTTTCCAAAGCCCCAAACAAGCCCGTTAACCTCAGCGCCGCCTCTTGCTACCACACATTCCTGCTTCAAAAAAGTAAAAATAAAAAAGGCAGCTAACCTTTCACACCTGAGTTTTTGGAAGTGGAAAAGACACAGTTRGATAACGGCAACCTTTTACCATTTGGTCTTATCTGATGAGAAAGACAGGGTGGGATTTGCCATTTGTACAACAGAACAGGTCATGTGTGGAAGATAAAGCCATAATGTGCCGAGGTTCAGCCTTTGTGTTGGACCTGACCTTAATAATATTATCTTAACCTCTTCTTTTGACCATGGAGCATTTATCTTTTCCTTCAAAGTTTGACAGAGAAGAGCTCTTTTGGAAAAAATAAAAAATAAAAGAAAGTCGGAAAATACAATGTGGTTAGAGAGGAATGTAGAGTTTCTTTTTATGTTTTGGAATGAAAGGGATTAAATGGATTTAAATTTGCTCCTCAAGTGTTCAGATTGTATGAGGTAACAGACCAGCTATTAAAAGTGTTTTATTATAAGGAAACATTTCAGTAAAATAGTCAAAGAAAAACGGGGTCAGTGTTAAAAAACCTCTTTGGCTTTTTTTTATTATCCTGTTTGGGGGAAAGACTGAAAAGACTAAAGAAAGAAACCTTTGCACGGTATTGTTTTACTTCATGAAGTGACATTTGGAACATAAAAAGGTGCTTACAAATAAAATGAATTATTAATATTATTATGAAAAACACAAGGAAGGCTAAGTTTTGCATTGCCATCAGGAAAGTCTGACATTTTTCTTAAAAACTACATTTATTAACAAATTACCGTGATTCCTCCAGTGGTTAGTGGTCATTCAGGAACAGAACTGCATCATTTCTCTGGATTACACAGCATCAGTGCTTTGTTAAATTCAAATTAAAGACCCATACGGTAACCAATCAAGTGTTTATTTACTACAACCTACATCTGTTTGAATGAAATAATACATAAACTGAATAAAAAGTTATATTTGTTATMAAATAATTCAGCCATGACTCCAGTTCTAACAATTTTTTTTTACAAACATTGTTTTTATTCTTTATTTTTATTGAACTAATGGAAAGCACTTTGGTTCAGTAGTCGATGTTGTAAAGATCTATTAAATAAAATTTGATTGATTGATTGATTGATTGATTTAGGTGCATCACTTTCTGCGCTGTGCAACGAAATAGCTTCTTGTTTCAATTCAAACTCTACGAGACCTTAAAGGATGTCTCCAGCCTACTAAAAATATTGTAACGCCAGCATAACCACTAAATTTATTTATCAGATTGTTCCTATGGTTTAGGTTCTTTTTAATAAAACTCCAGAAACAAAGTTTGTTTGTACTAGTGATGTTCGGTGTCACCAATTTCCTTTTCCAATACTGATACCAAGTAAAACTCAGGCTGGTATTCTGATGCAAACACACTTAATGTGTCTAATAAATCTGCACAAACAGTGTATTTCAAATCAATGACCATTAATGATTTATTTTTATCATTTTTTTACTGTATTTTGTTTTGAACTCATATGTATATTGATGTAATTGAGCTAAGACAACAGAAGAACCTGAGGACACAATCAAACATTTTTTTAAAAAAGAAGAAAGAGTAGTTCCCATCAGCCCGGTATGATTTAGACAAAATTTCAATAGTTTAGTTACTTTCCATTGTGTTCATTTAATGATAAAAATTACTTGAAATGAATGACGTATCGAAGTATCTYTATTTTGATTTTAGTATCCATACRAGAGCAAGTTCCGGTATCGGTGGTATTGATAATTCAGTATCAATCTGCACATCACTACCCTAAACTTGATATTTAAAAAGGTTGGTTAGTTACAAGTTTTTTTGATGGTATTTAGGAAGCAAAAACAATAGCAATCACTTTGTTTTAAATAATTTCTTGTTTTAAATAAAAATCAATTCATGTGGTGCATTTGTTTTTATTTGCGTTGATTTGAAACTGTGTTTTCTTATTGTTCAAGGCCATCACGCTGTCAGAATCTCACACTGGTCCGTGCTTAGTACACAAGTTTGTGACTTTCRGTCATTTGTTCCTTTTTCAGAATTGTATCTGTGCATAAGTTCAACAAATCCAGCAAATGAAAATGAGCAACGTGCAGGAAGTCATTTTCAGGCAGCTTCTAACCAAACACAGCCCGACTGCTGCTCCACCAGCCTCCGTCATTCACACACTGAAACCAGCGCCGTCTGTCTGAAGCTCGGAGGCCTTGACGTGGGTTTGGGTGGCGAGTGGGCGGCTGGGAGCGAGAGGCAGCCCTGGTTTACAGGTCAAGCCTGCAGCTTTACAAGGGAAATCTCCAGAGCCACTATAAATACCACTGTGATTTTTAAGGGTGCAGTATATCACACCACTGGTTTTTGAAGGACCACAAACCAAACTAGTTTTTGTAGATATTTTCCCTCTTTTTTCCCCCCCCAATGTACAGTGAGTCTGAATACAATTAAATGTGAATTTCCCTCTTTCCACTTCTAGAGACTGTTAATTGATTGGCCCAACTTCAAACCACCCTTCATCTACCCCTTTTATGCAACAAAGAGCCGGCCGTTCACCTCATGCGTCAGAACCATATATCATTATAGGAGCTTAAAGTTTGGGGGTGGTTTCTCTAATTCTCCCTTTGCTGTACTTCTGAACAAAGGGCAGAAACATGTCAGGAACTATTTTGAGTAAACTGTGAAGGTTTTCATTGAATCCCACCTGCAGCTAAGACGGTTATCCAGCTAAACCTGATGTGCTGCGACTTGAAAAGAGGCTTAATGATTAGCTAGAGGAAACAAACTGCTTAAAAGTGCTGTCAAAGTGACACAGCTGTGCAGCGTGTCCAGCATAAATCAGCTCTTAAGCTGGTTCACTTCGCTTTAGGCATCGCTTTTAAAAAAAATTACAATTAATTTAGTTTTATGTCACTTTACGGTGAGAAAAAGAAAAAGTGGGAAAACCCTTAAGTTGTCATTTGAACACCTCACTGGCACAGATGTGGAGTCAAAGGACATAAAAGCAGCGATTGCAAATCTCATCAGCCTGTGCTAGTTAGTGGCAGACGACAAATTGTTTCCAGAAGTCTCGCTTTCAGTCACACTATGGCGAGCAGTAAGGGTGTGCAGAAAGAAAAGAGACCAAAAAAAAAGGAGGCAGTTGAAGTGAAGGAGGGCAAGTAATGAGAGGTCAGCCTCCATCTACAGTCGAGCTGCCAGAGCCAGAAAGGCACGCCAATTTTATGGTCAATTGCGCCACGCATCTGGACTCATAGATCACAGAGCAGCGGAGCAGGACTTAGCACCCAGCACCGACACATTTCACTCACACAAAAACAGACCACACAACACACACAATCACACGCACACGGGGCGAGAAACACAACTGTGTTGGGGAAATGTTTGAAGATGCTCATGTCGAGACAAATTCTATTTGACATATTGGAAACCGTTTTGCTGATTCAGCATTCACACTAATGTAACTTTTTTTAGCGTCATACGTCAAAAACATCCAACTCATGCAAGATGCATGACTTTAATTTTAATGATAAGTATTTGCTTAATAGAAATACACAGAGATCTCTTCAGTTCCTTCAAAAGCACCGCTCTCTTTAAAAGAACCAACATGAATTCAAACCAGGAACTGACTGTATGCAAATCTGCAATGCTAGCTTGAACTGCTAAAGTATGCAGCTGTCAACCCTTAAAGGGAAACTCCATCAATTTCTCAACTCGAAATCATTTGACAGATTTTGGAAAAGACAGCAAGGCAGCGAAAAACGCAATATAAATCCTCAAGTGTCTTCAGGGGATAAAGTTTGAAATCTGATAAACTGAGCAATCATTGGCTGGGTCAAAAGACTACAATTGTGAAGCCAAGAAACGCACAGAGTTTGCTTTACATCTGTGGCTTGGTCTTCATCTCTGCTTTCGGCCAGAACCAATCTCAGAAACATTACCTGATGGTAACAGAATCTATCGAACTTTTGGCGTAAATATCTGCAGACGAGCTGAAAGTCCAAAAACGTCCATGAAATAACTTTTGATTTATGTGAAAAGCTATCTTTAACAGCTGATCTTACCTCTGTGAAGACAGACAGGGAAGGCAGGGGGGGACTCAGGTAGCCATAACGCTGCATCGCCACCATCACAACACAGCGGAGCATCTCGAGGAAGGCAGATGTTGGTCTGAACAGGGAACAAAAACACAACTTGGATTTAACTTAGTGTGCTTTCAGTAGATCTCAATGGGTTTGTTTCCTGGTAGTGATTAAGGGGGACGTAGGCTGCATCCAAACTCAGGGGCTGCTTCCTTCGAAGGTCGAATTTGTCTGCTGATTATGACATCGCACCGACGGTGGTCCAAATTCGAAGATTTCTCCAACTGTGGCCCACAAACATGTCCTCCTTTTCCCCCCAATTTGAGAGGGTGTAGCCTTCTCAGCCTGAGGTGCTTTTTTTGCTTGTAATGGTGGACGAAGCGAGACAGGAGTATAGTTTTAAATCGGTGGAGCTATTAGGCTTAGAGACATTTTTTAATATTATTCTCATCAAAAAACATCGTAAATGAGCTTGTATGGCAGGTATATTTGTTCTTCATGTATTCAAAGCTATTTTTTTCATTTATACTATCAATAATATTTCTTTTAATATTTTACTAATTTCGATTTATTTTCAATCTTCACGTTCGACAAAGACACGGCCCACATAGACTGGGTAGGCCAGGTCCTTCGAAGGACGCAGCCCCTGAATTCGGACACAGACGTGGTCTTTAAGGAAGTCAGCAACAATAGTGAATTTATTCTAAACAGCAAGAGATACCAAAAAGATCAAAGCTCAGACAATAAGTAACCCTAACATTTAGTCAGTTGCACGTTTCAGATTTTTTTGTTTCCTGCTCTTTATACTATTTCTCTTGTACATCAACAAAATTACAATTCATGTCCGCAATAATTAAACAAAATTTACCTTTGGTCGATGATGAATCCCAGAGAGGTGAGAGTGAGCAGAATGTAGCTGGTCATGCCCAGAATAGTTAACTGAGACAGCATCTATGAGTGAGATAAGTTGGTACATCATGAGGAATGTGGCAAAAACAAATATTAAACTCATTTTTTCAGTTTCACTGGTTATTCCACAGGAGACTTCAGAGAGAAAGCAGTGATAAAACATAAAGCTACTCAACTTTTTGTATGGAAGTGCCAACCAAAACGTACCTGACTTTCAGATAAAACCACTGAAAGACACAAAACACTCCAACAATAAGAACCTACTTCCTACTTTACACTCGAGGGCCCAGTTTGTTTAGATGGCCCAGTCACTCCAGATGGTCTTGAATGGGAACTTGACCACAGATAGACCATTTCTAAAATGGGCCAAAAACACCAGAGCAGAAAATCCCATGTCGATTTTTCACTTGCATTTTTCCCCAAAACCATTTGGGACATAAACACTAAATCTTGCAAAAACACAGTACATTGATGTGTTTACATAGTAGCAGATTCATGGAACTGAAATGTGTTCTCTAACCTAAGGCATTGGCTAAGAGCAGCAGCTGGAAGCAAAGTGTCTCTGATGATGCTGGGAGGCTGTCAGATTGGGTTTATATTTGTTTGATATGGCGCTAACAGCCAATTCTCACAGCTTCTACACTCAGGAGGAAGTACTGTGTACATCCAACTCAAAACCAACCCACCAATTTATCCAGGCTTGATAAAAATGATCGTATCTGGGTCCTCATGAAAGAACTCATCAAATATATGAATGTGGGTTCAATGAATCAAAATGTTGAGTTTAAAGTGCCTGTGACATTAAATGTTTGTGATAAATATGAATGCACTTTTGGAAAGATAACATCGATAACATATTGCAAAAACAACTTCACACCACTGAGATGAACAGTTGTTGAGATATTTGCATGTGAAGTAACAGGAAGTGACGTCAAAGGGGAATGTCTGCATGTAAACAGAGGTTTGCTACAACGGTTAACAACACAGACAGCAAGGAATCTTCTGATGCTTCTTTAGATTATTTTAGTCCCTATAAGAAAGAAATGAAGAAAAGTCAGAGTTGAAAAAATATTGTTGTCATAAACAAAGACCAGGGATTTTTCTTTCTTAAAGAGTTCCCTTTGGATGTCACTTCCTGTTTCACTTTAAATGAGCCAAATTCAAAGGCAAATATGCCAGTCATGTGACAAAATGGGTTAAATCATGTGTTTTATGCCAATTTTCCTAAATATGAAGATACTTTCTTTGAATTTTTGTATTTGAAGGACAGGCATGTCACAAGCCCTTTAAGACACCATAAAGATTTTTTTAAAAACAAAATAATCACAAATGAAGYTCAGGAGTTATCAGGGCAGTGATGTTTGGTAAGATGTGCAGAGAAGTAGAATTATTAGTCAAAGATTATGTTATCTTATCAGTGTTTAAAAACCAGTGGTGTGCAGTGCTAATCCAAAAATTAGCTCCGCAATTTCTAAAGCACTTATGAAAATATTTAGGTCCGCAACTTCAAAACCACTTATGCGATAGAAAAATTAGCAGAAGCTAATTTTAAAGCGCAAGTTCAATTTGACACTTACTAGCTGACAATTCATGTACAATATATGCCCAACGCTGCCAACTAGAGGTGTATGAACTCTTTTACAACTTAATTCTACAACTGCAGATTGCTGGGGATGTGATTTCCTGAAACAGACCTTTAGCTCCTCGTGTAAAAATTAAAAAGTTGTTGAGGATTGCTAGTTCGGCTGCTTCTTTGTCTTTTTCTTTTGTTTGTTGTAGATTTTTCATTGAAGAAGCATCAATAAAGTAATTTTAAAAACGTTTATTGGAAAACTGAAGCGATGCATTCTGGGTATACATGACGGATTTGGTTTGTGACGGGAATTGAAAATTTTCCATGTAGKTGCACCAGTTGACCACTAGATGTCAGTCTTCATCAGCATAACATCTTTAAATCATTTTTGCATCCCTTCAGGCTTCAGCTAACCCCGTTGGCCGATTGCTTCGACCAATTACGTCAAGTATTGAGCTCCAGCGTTTAAACTTTATGTTTTTTTTTTAAATGAGCTCCGATTGTAAAGTAAAATAAATCAATTCATACAAAATTTTAGTATGGATTACAAACGTTAACTSTTTTTGCTATTGCCTTCCTGCTACGTAAGCAGACACAAAGCATAGTGGGAAATGAGAACCCTGACCAAAAGCAACAGTCAGCAAGGATGTATAKCTTCTCAATAAATGTGTTTATCTGGGAGGGGTGTTGTTGGATAGATCCCGTGTGTTGTGATTCATTGACAGCCATACCTTCCGCTGTTCAAGATAATGACTGGTAGACAATTTGTTATTAGCAGTACTGCATTTTAATTTTAGCAAGCGCAAATCCGCTTATGAATTATAAAAATTAGTAAGACCGCTAGAGCGCTAACGAAATATTTAGGTCTGCAATTAGCATATTTGCGCTTTAGCGGGCTGGTGTCCACCACTGTTAAAAACTAAAATACCAGATGTGCTGCTTGGACCCCCTGTTTTGATTGTCAGCAAAAATCCATTGTCCTGTTAATTAGGGGTCGACCGATACATCGGCCGGCCGATATTTTTGGCCGATATTCACGTTTTTCCTTTGTATCGGTATCGGCCGATACGCGCCTGCTCTGGCCGATCCAGCAGCCATGCTCTGGGCTCACGTGCGCGCATCCATTACAGCTCCCTCCCCGGTGGAGAGCGGGTGGTGATTTGTGAGAC